GCCTTTTATAACCACCTCGCGCACTCACTCCTAGACTCCTGTCAGGTCGGGAATGAGTATTTTCGTGCTTCTGCCAGTTCGGGCGTCATCGCCTCTACTGGGGCAGAACCGTCACTGCTCCTTTTGTCGGAGCTGTCTCTGTAACCGGAGGCAGTGGTGACAGGTGACGGTGGCAGGTGGCCGTTGGAAATGCGGCCGTCAAGCGTCAGATCCCAAGTCAGTCAGGTGCGCCGCCCCTGGATACGGACTCCTTCGATGTCAGGTACGGCGTGGTTCGTCCAGTTCAATGCTTCGGAAGCGAAGTGCCTGGAGTGGTGCGTAAGGCAAAGTCTCGAGTTCGGATAAGGGGAGGCCCTGAACTGTCATAAGACGGGCCAGTTCGGGTCTCTGCTTTGTGTGACTCAGGGTCAAAAGGGAGAGTTCGGGCTCCTCGCAGGGAGTCTGAGCACTAAGTAGGGATCTCGGGCACCTCGCGGAGAGTTCGACCACTAAGTAGGGAGTTCAGGCACTAAGTAGGGAGCTCGGGCTTCTTGCTAGGGAGTTCGAGCACTAAGTAGGGAGTTCGGGCCTGTTGGTCCCTTCCCTTTGGTGTTTGTACCCTCGGTATGCTGTCTTGAGTGCCGAGCTACTTGCCTTTTTTGCCACGTGCCGTGATTTGCGAGGTCGGGCCAAATCTTCCTTCATCAGGAAGGTTTAATTTCTTCATAAAGTTGCTTCTGTTTGTTAACGTTCCCTTCAAATGAATGTTTTCTTGATTAAGTTAATGAATTGATTACTGATTACTGATAAAAAGGTTCCCACCAAATGGAAAAAGTCATAGGGTCCAATTTTCTGTTATTGTAGTTGACAGGTCTTTCTTGTGATTCTTCCAAGGCATTAATAGGGGCAGAATTGGAAACTTTGGCTGATTCTGATTCCAGCTTCTAGTTGAACCAAACAGCAGCCTGACTGAACCAAACAGATGGCAGGAATGGACCATTCCGATTTCAATTCCAAAAGATTCCGATTCCGATTTCAGCTGCGAACCAAACGGACCGATAGTGAAATGTCCATGAAGATCAGACAATTAATTTATCTAGTATATCTGGCTGAGAAGTGAGAAGGGAGAGATATAAGCAATCTCAGCCTCAGGTGGAATTAATGAAATGTTTTATTAGTATTTCAAGTAACATCTTATAAAGTTGTTTTCCACCTTAGATAAAGTTTATCACATTAGCATTTCAAGAAATGGAAGAAATATGAATTTGACATTTTTCTAAATGTTCCATGCATATAAATCAAAGCGTTTCAGTTTTTTAGTATTTATTTGATAAACGTCAAAATCAAATAGTAGTTTCATATACAATAAACAGCAATGCCTATAGAGGGTGTTTGGAATTGTGGGCGTTTATTCAATAAATGCCGCCGCATAGGCACCACTTCAGCAGGAGACCGAATGAGCCCCCCACAACATCCCCCACTGTGTATTGGGAACATCTCCCGATGATGACATTATCATTTATGGTATTATCATCTAGAGATGTTTTCAATACACGGCAAGGATGTGCTGTGGGACATTGCGGGGGGCAGTCTTGTGGGTAGAGGTGTCAATTGGACAAATTTGGTCCAATTCAATCCATTGCAATGTGACTCCACTTATAAATGGACAGGACCCAATCCAGTCCAAATCCAATATAGACCAAATCCAATCCAATATAAACCAAATCCAATCCAATCCATTAAAATGTAAAATGGAAAAGCACTTTTGTAAAAGTACTTTGATAAAATTATTTTCATATTATAAAAGCAATTTTAAAAAGTACTTCCATAGACTTATACTTTTATAAAAGTACTTTCGTATAAGTGTTTTTATAAGAGTACTTTCGAAAAAGTGCTTTTGTAAAAGTACTTTTATAAAAGTGCTTTCATAAAAGTACTTCCAAAAAAGTTTTTTGTAAAAGTGATTTCATGTAAAAGTGCTTTCATAAAAGTACTTTTGTAAAAGTGCTTTTATTAAAGTGATTTTGTAAATATGCTTTTATAAAACTTCTGTAAAAGTGCTTTCGTAAAAGTACATTTGTAAAAATGCTTATGTAAAAGCATTTTTACAAAAGTTCTTTCATAAAAATACTTTTCATAAAAGTATTTTTATAAAAGTGCTTTTATAAAAATATTTTCGTAAAAGTACTTTCATAAAAGTGATTGTATGTTGTTTTTAGTTTTGATTGATTTCAAATTGGACAAGGGTTTTGCATCATGATCGGATTATTAGAAATTTGGTTTAGGTTTAATTCAAACCAATAAGAATATGGACCAATTTATTTTGGATTGGCCCAATCCAACCAATCCAATAATTATAATGGACCGTCCAAATCCGATTTGATAAAGTTTGGATCGGATTGGATCCAAACCAATACCAGTTGATTGACACCCCTACTTGTGGGGGGCTGATTTGAACTCCTTCAGCAGATTCCCTCTCATGCTCTTCAGTACACATCAAGAATAGCAAAAGGTGACTTCGGTTTCTATGCACACCTACCATTTGGGGAAGTTATTTTTTAAAGCTTCCCCCAACAGTTAGGCATTTTTTCACTGTTATATATGTTGATGTGGCACTTAATTGTTATAAATGATTGTAATTATTACCTTTCTCGGTTTTGCAAGCAAATAAAATAGAAACGTTGAATGAAAAAACTTAAATGGAACCAAATACCTACTATGTGGTGCTAATGTGACGGTGATTTTACAATAAAGTCCCTTTTCTTCCCTAATTTTTTTTTTTAGGGATGAGTGGACTATAATCCACCTCAGAAATCTGAATTGTAGCCCCCTCCTAGTCTACTAATAGCCCCCCTTATAAACCGCATCCTACTCATGAAATTGGCATCAATCCACGGGCACCATTCAGTCCACCCCTAGAAATCCTAGCTCCACCATAGGGGTGGACTGAACTATATAAACCCTTTTTTTCAAAATTAAATAGAGTAGACAGATTTGGCCCGCCAAAAGGGCAGAAGAGCTTTTACCAATCATGTTCCCTCCTCTGAACCTACTCAATTGATTCAATATACATGCATCGACATCGCACCGATACCGATCAGTACTAAAAAAATCGTTGCCTCAACGATACATCCGTCTATTTGGTAACATTAAACTATTAAGCATGCTTTTCGAACTGCCTTTGACCCAGATGGTTGGACCGTTCGGCCCTGGAATCGTCTAAGAACTGGTTCCATTTTATCTCAAACCCGTTATTTGGTCTAAAACAATTGAAAAAATCAACAATTTATTAATTCAAACAATCAAACTGTTGACCCATCGACATGTTCAATAGTTTTTGGCCGTTTTTATTTTTATAATTTTTTTTAGAATAAATCATCTATTCCAACCAAACGATTAAATCGTAGACCAGAAAATCAATGGCTAAAACAGTTTCATTTCCGAATCGTTTTTTAAAACGTTGCTATTAACTATGCCTCACAGCCACCATAGCTGCATATGGGGAAGCCTGGAGCATCTCCTCATAAATGGTATAATATGAATTATGACATACTAGCTAGCTAGTATGAAATATGTATGCTCCAAATATGCCAGTGTAAAGGGTTAAGTTACAGATCCTAATGCTGGCATCAAATTCCAAGCCTGCATCTGCTGCTTGCCAAATTGGATGGCCAACATAGTGTGGATAGTGGATACGGGGACAGTAGCCCCTACGAATTGGAGGAGATATATAGGATTAGCTAACCCTTTTAGCTTTTTCAGCACGCTATAGAACTAATAAAAACACTCCACATCTGTCATGCAATAACTCAGTATGGGTCCCAATTCCCATGTATCTTTATCACTGGTGTGGAGTGTTATAATTAATTTCACAGTATTCACATTTATTGCGTTCAGATAATCCATCTCAAATTGGGAAGGGGAAGGGGTTTCAACTTTCAAGTTGGATGGGAGGATCACACAACAAGGTAGAGCCCATCCCCCAAAACCTATAAGCTATAGGGGGTGTCACTTGGGCGGGCCTATTCTGATTTTGAACCGATTTAGTCCAAAATTTTACATACGCTGGATTTGGATGTTTGGTCTTTGGGCTGCGTTTGGGCTTAAGTAGTTGGTATTTTTTATTTTTTTAGGCTGAGTTTAGCTTTTAGGTAGTTCAAACCTGGCCCAACTATACATACATGTATCTATGTATATCTGTGTGTAAATTTTGCATACACATTTAAATTTGGGAAGAAGATAAAAATTGAATTAAGCCCTTCCCATAAAATAAAAAAAAATAAAAAAAAAATAAAAAATTGAATGTAAAAAATGTAAATTCTTATTTAAACCCCTGGCAAGCAATAAGGCTGTGTTTGGTTGCAGTGCAAATTTATTTGCACTAGTACAAATGTATGAGAGTATAAATGTAAAAAATGTAAATTCTTATTTAATTTTGTTTTAGATTTTATTTTATTCTGCTTCATGTCTTAATTTACTTTATTTGTACTGCAATCAAACAAAATAAGCTAAAATTAGAAATAAAAATATATCAAAATTTACACTCAAATCATTTGCACTGTCATAGTTTTACACCAGTGCAAATTTATTTGCATTGCAACCAAACACAGCCTAATATTCACTCCCAAATCCCTCCTAATAGTAGCTAATACCTGTTGGGTATTGCGTGATTTGCGTCTCCATCCCAGTCCCACTCAACTCAACTAGTTACATCTCTCCTTCGTCATTCCTCCCTCCTCTTCAGTCCTCAGTCCTGAATTCCTGATCGGTGCCCAATCCTCAATCCTCAATCCTCACCCACCAGTAATATACTAAAAGAAAACAAAGAAAACCACCGTTGCCTCCTCTTTTCTCTTTGTTATCTCTATCATCATCCCTACAACAGCATCTATAAATTCCAACAGATTCTCTTCAAAGTCATGGGCATGGCACGTCCTCATATTCCAACTATCAACCATGTTCTTCTTCATCTTCCCATCCCTTTCTAAGTTTCCGTTCTGGTTCATACTCATAGATATATTCCGCCATAACTCGTAAGACTTCACATAAACGGATAATCCCCGGCCAACTGCTTACATATCCATTCCATACTTGAACATTGAAGGACGACCATTCAATTCAAGTTTTTGCTACTACAGCCTACACAGTCCACAAAGTCCAAGGTCAAGAATATCTTAAGTAAATGCACACCTGGTTAATATATATATAACATCTGGAATTTCTGGTTTAACATGGCCCAGTCTCATCTACTTACTCACCTACGTCTCTTCTCTTACGCGCCGCCCGCCATTGCTTGCCAGTCTCCACTTCTCTCCTCCAACCTTCTATTCATCAATCGCTCCTTTTCTTCTCCTGCTTCGGGGAGGAGCTTTTCGTTTTCGATGGCGACGCCGGACGGGGCCAAGAAGCTAAAGACGTCGAACTATCTCCGGCATGTTGAATCCTTGGCGGTTCTGCCATCCGGCGCCGGGAAGATCTCGCATTTGAATGCTGTAATCCTCGGCGAAGCGCTTGCTTCGGAGGAGAACGATCTCGTGTTCCCTAGCGAGGAGTTCTCTCGCCAGGCTCTGGTTCCATCGCCAATGAAGGTGAGCGTCAATTGATCTACGCGAGTCGGAGTATTGGATCACTGGAGATCAGTATTTTGGCGCGTTACTTAAATATGGGTGTTCTCACTTTTCTTTTCTTTTTTGCACAAAATAGGATTCACCTTATTTTAAAAATAGAAAAAAAAACAACATTTGAGGCGTTCATTGAATATGGATATTCTTAATTTTGAATGTGGGTGTTTTTTAATTTGCATATAATTCACTTCTTCAATTTTTATTAGAAACTCAAAGTTTTGATGCAATAATTAAATATCGGCGTTCTTAAATTTCATATAAAATTCCACCTATTCTTAATACTGGCCTACTTAAATATTGGTGTTCGTAGTACTGGTGTACTCAATAACTCAAATACTTTTTATCTTCTTCTGTTTATTACATGAATTCGATATTTTGACGCGTTGTATTAATTCTCCTAGTTCACCAGGAAATCAACTTTTTTTCCCTGATAACCATCAGAAAGAAATCAATTTATTGATGCATTATTTGGATGTGAGCATTCTTAATTCTTTTATCTTATATTTTTCAGAGAAATTGAAGTTAGAAAAAGCTGTTCTTACGATTTAGACATGTTTGATCAGTATTTAAAGATGTATATACATGTATGGTCTTTCTTATTTCTTACATTTTATTCAGAGGCGTTAATATGTTAAGAAAGCTGAAGCAAAATTTCTTAGGATATCTAGAGATGCATAGAAGTATGGGTCTTCATAATTCTTAATTCTTATGTTTTGATTTGGACAAGTTGATTTTCTAAGAAAGTCAATAGTAAGTGTTTTACGATATGGAAATGTTTGATCAGTATTAAGAGATGTGTACAAGGTCAATTGAGTATCCTGTTGGATTCTGTATATTTAAATCATGCATAGCATTTCACTATTTTGATGCATCTGTTATTTTATTTTATTTCTTGATCATTACAATGATCAAAGAAATTTTATGGATTACTTAAATATGCCCTTGCCCTACTCATATGAAGGAACCGGTGGGTCCAATAAGTGATTAAATGTGAGAAGTAAACTAAGATGGTTTGGCCACCTGCATAGAAGACCTTTGGCAGCTTCCATAAGAAGATGTGCTTTGTTGCAAGTTGAAGGGGGTAGAAGGGGTAGGGTAGACCAAAAAGGACATGGGTTGAAGCACTAAGATAAGTGCTAATAAGTTAACAATGGATATGGAATTGAACAGAACAGAATGGAGAAACAGGATTCATGCAGCCAACCCCATATAATTGGGATAAGACTTGGATGGTGATGACTGAATATGCCCTACCATTAGAGAACTAATATCAGGAATAGAAGTACAATAAAAAAAAAAGAAAATAACATATAAAAAATTTGACTGGGACCATGGCTGGATACAAAAATTAGGCCTATAGTTGAGTCCCCCACACCAAGCCCTGTCTCCCCACACCACTTCTGAACATGCTGTTCAGAATAGAATAACAGTCATATAGCCTTTGCCTTAGGCAAAATCTGAGGGCCCAGGGACCTACTTCCACACCATTCATCCAATCAATAACCACTTGGTAGTTACCCTTTTTTTGAAAGGATAATATGCTTAATAACCATTGCTTTCTAATTCCATAGACATTGCAAATATATATATATATATATATATATATATATATATATATTTGACGAAAGTTAACTTTTATTGAAAAGAGATTGAAAAAGGTACATGAAAGGATGTAGAGCAGCTCGAAGAGGCTGAGGCAGGATTACAAAGGCAAACAACTGTCAGTAAACAAACTTTACTAAAAGCCCCTCACTTTGCTAGGCTATCAGCAACAGTGTTTAGCTTCCTGGGAATCCAAACCAGCTTCACATTCATTGAGCCCAAGGTATCTCTGGCTTCAGCTAGCAAGTGTGCTAGCCTCCAAGGCCCTCCTTCCTTCTCCCTTAACCATGCTATAGAATTTGCAGAATCATCTTCAATGGTTAATGAGGATAAGCCTAGCCATTTGGCAAAACGAATTCCTGTAAGTGCATCCAAGACCTCAGCCTTTGTAGCGTCTGCCCTCCCAATCGGACCACTAAAATCCCAGCAGATATTCTCCCCTTCCCCTTGGATTACACCCCCAATTCCTGCTTGACCTGTAGAACCTTGGGCACTACCATCAAACTTTAGTGTCATCACTCCATCCTCTCTAGAATAATGTCTAATGATCATATCATTCCTTGGGGAGGAGTGTAGGACTTCTAATATGTTTCTTTGAGGATCATTTAAGGAAAAGCCTTTGAACACTCCAGAATTAACCACCCAAAGATTACATAAAAGAACTAATGTAGGAAATTAGGTCTTCAGCATTTCTAGCTTTATTTTCAAATATTCTATTGTTTCTTTCTTCCCAAATGCCCCACAACACTGCATGAGTCACTATACTCCAGTACCCTTTATCATAAGTCCTTTTCAACCTGTGGAATGGGCCAGTTTAAGCCCTTGTAGAAAGGCAAACAACTGATCTCTCAAGCACTTTCCCACTCCAACAAATCCTGAGAAACTCAAAAGCTGGAGTAATCCAGTCCAGATTTTGTCTCTGTTGTGCAAAACACTGTTGTCTGTTCTTAATTCTTATGTTTTTTATTTGGTGACATTGAATCATCAGGGAAGGGTGGGTGAAATGTTCTTATGATTTGGATATTTTTTTTGTCAGTACATGGAGATGTATAGAAGGTCAATTGAGGATCCTGCTGGATTTTGGTCGGAGATTGCATCAGAATTTTACTGGAAACAGAAATGGGGCACAACAGTCTACTCAGAGAACCTGGATGTCAGGAAGGGGCCCATCAAGATTGAGGTATTTCTTTTGTCCTGATCTTGAAGTATTTGAACTGAATCAATCTAAAGTTATCTGCAGAGTAGAGCTGAGGTTATTAACTCTGAATATTTTTGGTCAGTGGTTCAAAGGTGGCATAACAAACATATGCTACAATGCGCTGGATAGGAATATTGAAGCAGGAAATGGTGACAAAATTGCAATTTACTGGGAAGGAAATGATCTGGGTCAAGATGGGAGTTTGACATACAGTAGTCTGCTGGAGAAAGTTTGCCAGGTAATTTTCCCCACCCCTTTCCTTGTTCCTCCTCTAAATTCCCTTGTCTTAAACATGAAGTTGAGCTATCCTTTGTTTAAATATGCAAACAGCTAGCAAATTACTTGAAAGATATTGGTGTTCGAAAGGGAGATGCTGTTGTAATTTATTTACCCATGCTGATGGAATTGCCAATTGCAATGCTGGCCTGTGCTCGCATTGGTGCTATCCACTCGGTAATGTAGAATATTGGTCCTTATGCCCCCATGTTTTCTTGTAGAAGATTGAATGTTTCAATTACTTGTGAATGAGCTGTGACTCATTGTTCCTTTTTTTTTTTCCTTTTAAGGTTGTATTTGCTGGATTTTCAGCAGATTCTCTTGCCCAAAGAATTGTAGATTGCAAACCTAAAGCTGTGATAACTTGCAATGCTGTTCGAAGAGGGCCTAAAGTTATCCATCTTAAAGACATAGTAGATGATGCCCTGGCTGAATCGGCCAAATCTGGGGTCTCTGTAGGTAAGTAAATTGAGGAAGTTGGTTCATGGAATTAGGCGCAAAACCTCTTAATTGTGCTCTGCTTAACTGGATTTTGACCAGAACCTTACACTCTTTCTATAATCTTACATAACACATTTGGCAAAAATAAGATTTTAGCATCCCACAATTTTCTAGATAGGATTTGCATGGTTCTGTTTGCATGTCTTTACCAAAGTGGAGCTCCCGGTGTGTCAAGTAGGTATGAATGCACATTACTTCATTCGGGTTATCGATCGTGTGTGCATAGAGTGGAGAAAGTTCTTCTTGTAGGAGGGTAGGCAGTTATCCTCGGGGGTGTGGAAGAGTTACACTGGTTTGATCTATTAATTTATACACATTGCCTAAATTCTGTAACAAAATCTCCATGGTATCTCAAAAGAATAACTCTTTGAAATGGAAGCAAACATTGTATCCATTTGTACCAATTTCATGTAAGGGATCTGTAGAAAGGTGGAATGTTCTTAACAAATCATTGTAGGGGAAGAAGAACAGGAAATTAGTGCTTGAATTTACTTGTCATTTGGCATATGGATGGAGGATGATGAAAAAATGGCTCTTCATAGAGCAGAATGGCGGGACAGGTTTGGTGTAGACGACCCYAAGTGGTTAGGGTTAAGGTTGAGTGAAGTTGTGGAGTATCATGTTTGTAAGTTAAACTGGTGAAGGATAATAGTGATTATTAACCCAAATTATGGTATTTTCCCAACAGTTTGTTCTATTCTGATTTGTATTTCCCCCTCCCCAGTATCAGGTCACACCTAATCAGCCACAAAAAAACACTATAGATAGAGTAGGACTATCACCCATTATACTACAGTCCAGCACAAGGAGGTTAAGTTCTCCAGCCTACACAGAGTACTACTGCTGGAAATACATATACAGCATCAAAATTATGTAGAATAATCAGTACCCAAAACAGCCTTTGCCCCACATCACCAAACCTCCCAAAAAAAGGCACACAATCATCACATGATCCAACCTTTTGTTTCACTGCTGTTACAGCAAGTACAGGTCATCTTCGACCTACAAACACGCCATAAAGGATCACATGATCCACAAAAAAAGGGTTTGTAGAACTTCTAAACCCTTCACACCATACAGACGAACCTGTTACAGGGGTTTTTCTTAGTACACGACCAAGAGAGAAGGGGGGAAAACTCAGAAAACTTCCTCAGATCACTCCGATGAGTTTTCTCTGACTTCTCCAGGAAAAACACAGCAAAAAAGAATGGAACCCTTGATCGATCTTGTTCTCAGGCCTAATAATCCCACTCTGATACCATATTAACCTGAAAACAATAAGGAGAAAACAGAAAAGAGAAGAGAGTGGAGAGGAGAGAAGAAGAGAGAAAAGAAAGATTGAGAGCCAAAAGAAAAAAGGCTGGCAGTGCCAGCTTCTCTATTTATATTTGGGCAACTCAGAAACATTAAAAAAATAAGGTAAAAGTACAAAAGTGCCCTTGTGGTGCTGAAGTATGAAACAATGATAGTTTTAACACTCTTTATTGCAAGTTTGGGCAGGATGTTAACCAAGTAAGTGTCATACATAGCTTGAGTTTCCTTTATCTAGTATATCAAATGAAATTTCTCTAATTTTTTTGATCAGCAACACAAATGAAAATTTCATTCATTAATTAGGAAAGGCACAAGGGGGTTGTAAGTACAAACAAAGAGAAAAAATTACATCCTTAGCTGTTCACCCACCTGAAAATAAATTACATCAAAACCCAAAAAAGTTGCTGTCTATTAATCCCTTGCTTTGCCAAGCTATCAGCCAAGCCATTTGCTGATCTTTGTCGCCATTTAACTTTTATCTGCTTATCCTTTAAGAATCATTTAAACCACCTGCTTTCGTTCCTATAACACCAAGCAGTGATTCCCTCCTTAAAAAGCCAAATGATAACCACTTTAGAGTCATCTTCAATAATCAACCTTACAGCTCCCAACTCCTTAGCTTTCTGTATCGCTAAACTTGCTGTCATCAATTCAGCTGTCACCGATTGCCTTCCCCTATTGTTACCTGAGTACATCGCTAGAATGCTGTCATTTTAATCTGTTATTACTCCAATGCCAGATGGCTCAGGATTAAGTTTCTCTGAATTTCAATTGTAGCATTAATTGCCTGTCAGTGGCATCTCATATTTGATCCAAGTTAACTAAGCTATGATAGTTAGGCCATGCAAAGCAATGCAATTTGGTCTGTTTCCTATGATACTCAGCTATGTACATGGGTGCTTTTTTGTGCCAGAAACTTAAAGTTTTAGCATAAATTCTGTGTTTTTGTCCTTGCTATGTCTGGGTATCATAGTTTTTAGTTTATGTTTTATGAAGTTGCCAGTGGTTTTTTTAATATATAATTATGTTGAAGATTCACATGGTGTTCTCTTTTAGTAAAGATATTTACCATAGTTTTCCCCCCTTTTCTTTGAGCAGATGTATGTTTGACCTATGAAAACCAGTCAGCCATGAACAGGCATGATACAAAATGGCAGAAAGGAAGAGATATATGGTGGCAGGTTAGTAAATTAGAGTCTCTGCTATATGTAATTTCTCAGAACATATAGACGGTTTGCATGGATATTCCATTACAGATTCGCTTACCAATCTCTGTATAGTGTGTGCTTAAGGTAGAAAATGATAGGTTCTTTAAGAGGAGTGGTGGCCTTTGTAAATTATAATGAATTAGTGATAAAAACATACTACCAAAGAGATGCTGTTTTGCATTGTCAAACTTGAACATTTAATCTTATGGCATACATGTTGAATGGAAGACATGATTTTTATATTACTATATTTTTGGTTTATTTGATGGTTGAGAACAACCTTCCAGGATACTATCCCTGAATATCCTACAACATGTGAAATTGAATGGGTTGATGCAGAAGATCCACTTTTTCTGCTCTATACCAGTGGGAGCACAGGAAAGCCAAAGGTGATCTAACTGAAAGATTCTTAATAATTTTATAAAATGCATTTGTGTTCAAAAACTGAAATGGTTAATGCAGGGTGTTCTGCACACAACCGGGGGATACATGATATACACTGCAACAACATTCAAATATGCATTTGACTACAAGCCACCTGACATATACTGGTATATTGGCAATTTTGATGGATTTTAGTGACTTATAAGCTTCTACCGATGGAATTAGCTATACAATCAAATTATGTCCATTGAGATCTTACAATCTTTTTCCACCTTGACTTCAGGTGTACTGCAGATTGTGGCTGGATTACTGGACACAGCTATGTTACATATGGCCCTTTGCTAAATGGAGCAACTGTCATAGTTTTTGAAGGGGTATCTAATCCAAACTTATAATTGTAGAATGATGTCTAAGGTGTTAAAAGGTTGTGAATCTGTTATGATATATGATATATCAATCTAATGAGAGAAAAGAAATATTTGGGTCTTCTCCATGTTATATATTGTTTCCATGCATAAATCTCATTTCTCAAGGACTTTTTGATATCCAAATGATATAGAAACTTTGTAGCATGACTTTATTGGAAGTCCTGTTTGCTTCAGAAATTGTAAATTATTTTATTGAAACAGTACTTCCTAAAAGAGTTTTGTCCATCAACAACTTATTTGCCCACTGCACAGCAAAAGCACCTTCAGGTCTTGTCATCAAGATACTTTACATGGGCATTACACTCTTAAAACATTTTTAGACTACATATCTTTGTATCTTTGAGGGGCCATTGCTTAGTGCAATGGTAAAATCTYGGGCTGACAAATGTGAGAACATAGGTTTGAGTCAGAGAATGGCCACTTTGCATAGTTGTCAAGGCGACACCTAGGCGGGCGCCTAGGTGACGCCTAGGCACAAGGCGCCCTTTGAGGCTCGCCTTGCCTAATCGCCAAGCAGTTTTCTACTTCCTACTATAAAATATGTTTTTATTCATTCTTTTTTTAGACTATAATTATAAAATAGACATTTATAAACTAAAATAATCATTTTGTGTGTTTATATGCTAATTTCTTTTTATTATTTTCTTATTTATTAGGGTTTAATCAACACAAACATTGCTAAATGCTGTATTGAACCCTCAAAAAATTTAAAACCTGAACCAATAAGTAAGGAAGAACTTAAAATTTTATCTAATCCGCACATTTTCCTCTTCCATATATTCTTCTTCTTCTTCTACCAGTACTTTTTATTTTCTTCTTTTCCTATAACAAAAATAAGGGTTCAGCCCCTATATTTTTTGTTTTTATTTTCCTTCTTTCCTTTTTTTCTCATGAATATGTTGATTTTCTATACTTTAATATGAAATTTATACTTTTCTTGTGAAAATCATGAATAATTATTAAAGAAATATGGTTATGGTGCCTAGGGAACTAACCTAGGATCTATGCTTTTAACAGAAAAAGTCCATCACCTAGGCGACTAGGCGACAAGGCGCCCCCCAGTCGCCTAGCCTCGCCTTGGCGCCTTGAAAACTATGCCACTTTGTACAAAAGATTCCAAAAGATAGGTCCTTATCCACTCTACCCTTCCCAAGACCCCAGGTAATTGGTAACTGGGACCACTATTGGGTAATGGCTTTTTTTCTATCATTGTATTTTTATGGATTGTTAAAAGCTGTTATTTCTCTAAGTATAGTACCGCAGGGGTACTATTGTAATTTTCCTCTTTTATTTTTATTTCCTGTCGCCCTAGTATATATACTAAAAGGCTGGCTCTGCCAGCACCTTTTTTGGCTCTCAAATCTTTCTTCTCTCCTCTTCTCTCTCTCTTCTTTCTTCCTCTCTTCTTCTCTCTTGCATAACATGGTATCAGAGCGGGACTATCAGATCTGAAAAGGAGAGATCGAGTGAACTGTTCCCTTCGCACCAGACTTCCAGATCTGCTGCCATCATCTACTGTTCGAGTGATTGAAGATCAAGTTTTCTCCTCACGCCTGAAGTAATCTCTCTCATTCCCTCTTTTTTCTGGTCGTGTGCCAGGGCAGAACCTGTACTAGGTCTGCTGGTTGGATGTGAGGTGACTAGCACCTCTGTCTTTCCTTATTTGTGGGGTCGACTGACCCCTGTAAAATCTGTAGGTCGGTGAAGACCTTTTGTGTGCTGCGATAGACGCTTTTGTGCTGAACCTGAAGGTCAGAGTGACCTGTACTTGCTATAACAGCATCTGTGTTTGATGCATAGGTCAAGAAATGACCTGTACGCCCTGTGATAGCAATTAGTTTGTTTCTGTAGGTCAAGGGATGACCTGTTAGTGCTGTAACAGCACCTGTGTTTATCAAACAAAAGGCCTGTTAGTGCTGTAACAACACTTGTGTTTATCAAAAAAGGGCCTGTTAGTGCTGTAACAACACCTGTGTTTATCAAAAAAGGGTAATAGCACCTGGTGGTATCAAAAAGGGTTGTGTTTCTGAAGAAAAAAAGGGGCTTCCTTTCTCCCTTGGTGTTGGCCTTTTTTTTAAAAAGTTTTGTGCCCACTTTAAGAATTTTTTCTTGAATCTGCAACCATGAGCGGTGAAGATTCTGCTACGTCCGGTGTTTCCTCAATGCAGAATGGAATGAGTGGGGGTGTGGACCTATCCTTTCCCATGGCTGTTATTCCTCTCAACGGTTTAAATTATTTAGAATGGTCAAGAGGGATCAAGTTGTACATTACTGCAAGGGGAAAGATAGGTTATATAAATGGGAGAATCAAAGAACCCAATTCTGGGAGTGCTGGATATGACAGATGGAACCAGGAAAACAGCATGGTCATGTCCTAGCTTTTAGTGTCTATGCAACCTCAAATAAGAAGGAATTTTATGTGGGCTGAAACAACAAATGAAATTTGGGAACAAGCAAAATCAACCTATTCTGAGCTGCATCACTATGCAAAAATTTACTAGTTACAAGCAGAATTGTCTACTTGTAAACAAGGGGAGAGGTGCCTTTCTGTGTACTACTCAGACTTAACCTCTGTTTGGAAGGAGTTAGATCATTATCAGAATGTGGACTGGAAGTGTGATGAAGATGCAAAATTATGCAAGAAACTTGTTTCTCAGCAAAGAGGGTTTGCTTTCCTACATGGCTTGAATCCTGCATATGAATCTATCAGAATCCAGATCCTAGGTAGCAAGGATCTTCCCTCCGTCCAGGAAGTTTATGCTCTTGTACAATCAGAAGAAAGTAGAAGGAATTTGATGAACAATTCTAGAGGGGATGTAGTTGGGTTGGCAGCGAAAGGGAGTGTGATTACAGGTGGGGGAAATACCTTTAAGAGGGGGGACTCTCAGAAAAAGGCGGATGACAAAGACAAACTTTGGTGTACTCATTGCTAGAAACCCCGACACACCTGAGATACATGCTGGGATCTTCATGGGAAGATAAAATGGGCTCAAGATTTGAGTGGGGGAAATACCTTTAAGAGGGGGGACTCTCAGAAAAAGGCGGATGACAAAGACAAACTGTGGTGTACTCATTGCCAGAAACCCTGACACACCCGAGATACATGCTGGGATCTTCATGGGAAGCCAAAATGGGCTCAACATTTGAGTAAGAAGCAAGGTTTAGATCTAAATAAAAAGTCAGGACAACAAGGTACAAGAAAGCACACTATGGAAAACATGGCTTCTCAGGAGAATTAACCCCCCATTACTACTGTGACTTAGACACACGGCTCTAGATCTGACCCAAGGTAGGATATTATTAATTCCTTCTGTGACCATTTAGAGAGATCTATGGTAGAGCAATTCGTCAGATGGATGCTCCTCCCTCAATTTCATTTGTGTCTACATCAGGTAACTCTACCACAACTTTCCATGTAGCATCTCATACCCTTGACACTCCTTGGATCATTGATTTTGGAGCGTCTAAACACAACTGGTACGCCCTCTTACTTTCAAACCTATCACCTCCTTTTTGGAAGAGACAAGGTGAGACTAGTTGATGGATCATACTCTACCATAGCTGGTCAAGGAACCATTTCTCTTCCCTTTGGCCTTACCTTGTCTGATGTTTTACATGTCTCAAAATTTCCCATTAATTTGTTCTCTGTTAGTAGTATTACTAATTCCTTAAACTGCTCAATGACCTTTTTCCCTTCTTACTGTGTGATCCAGGACCTGGCCTCGGGGAAGACGATTGGTAGATGATGTATGGTGGATGGGCTTTACATGTTGGAGAATAAGGCTGGTCTTCAAGTCACAAAGTCTAAGAGTTAGTCTTGTAAGGGTCAAGTCTATTTATGGCATTGTCGTCTTGGTCCTTGTTGTAAGGCTTAATTGTTCTTTATAACTGTTGGTAGTAGGACAGTTTCAGCTACTAGCCCTTTTTTTTTCTTTCTTTTCTTATTGTTCTTATCCTAGGATATGCCACCAGGGGCATACTTGTAATTTCATCTCTTTTATAAAGATTAATATAAATAGAAAACTGGCGGCAGCCAGTACTGATTTTCTCCTCTCATTCGTACCTCTCTTTCTCTCTTTCTCTCTCTCTCAATCACCACAAGCGACCACATGGTATCAGAGCAGGCTTTCTGGGTTGGAGGATACCTACGGTCCTAGCTTCAGCCTTTCTAAAAGTGATTGGACGTGGCTACCTTTACAGAAACCCTAGCGGCAGCTTGTCTCAGTTCTCTCTGGCGGCTGTACCTATATAAATCCTAGCGGCAGCTTGTTTTTTAGTTCTCTCTGGCGGCTGTATCTGCAGAAACCCTAGTAAGTTCTGGAAGCTACTTCTGTTGAAACCCTAGTGGTCCCTAGCGGCGATTTTCTGAGAAACCCTAGTAGTTTCTGGCCGTAGGGTGGTGCTGGTGCAATGAAACCCTAATCGAAGAAGGGTGTTGATGGTGCAAACTCCTCGGTTATCCAGTGCTGAACAGGTGTGTTTTTGTTTCARTTTRTCTCAGTACTCTTTATCCAATGGTGCGTAGGGCTCATGCCTTGATTATATGATTACTAGTTTGGACATTGGATGGTTAGAGTGGGGGAACCACATTCAGATTGACAGTAATGTCTGTATTGGTGGTGCTGAACCGATGACCGGACTGTTTACTATTCTGTTTGGACGTTGTATTGACTGAACCCTTATTCTCAGCAGTAGTCCCTGAGTTCTCAGCAATTTTCAATAATTTGTTGCTCACCTTCTAGGAGCAAACCCTGAGTTACCATATTCTAGTTGTGGCGGCTGTGCTGTTGGGTGGCATTTGGACTGTTTTTGTAGTCTTCAATGGCAAGTCATGAATTAACCTCACTGGGGAATACACCAACCCGCAACACAGCAAGTATGGGAGGTGAAAACATGGTTTTTCCCATGCCAATTACCCCCTTGAACGGTCTGAACTACCCGGAGTG